GACAGAGGCTGCCACAACCAGGAGCATCACTGAGCCAGGGTGGCTCGTCCCCCCCACCACAACCTGCCAGCCCAAACCCCCCCCGAGTGCTCTTCAAATCAGACATGAATCTCCTGCAAAGCTCCATTTTTTGAGCTGCTGTTGCTCAGATTCAGCGGCCAGTGCTTCTGTGCAGACCAGAAGGGGATGAATGTGTCTGCCACGGCTAATTCCGCACAGCCAGGCTTCGCCTTCCCCAACTTAATTTGGTGCTCGGAGAAAATTAGACGTTCTCCAGCTTCGGTGGAAAAAGGCAAGCACTGGAGGTAATTTAGAGGCTTTGATGCTGCTCTTTAGTCATTCGGGCACCACAGCCAAGGCATCGCTCCCCGGACTGACCACGGGCTGGGGATGAGAGTCACTAATCCTCCTGCACAGCGTGTGAGCCCGGGGCAAACTGCCCTGTCTGTGCAGGGACACCACCGTCCCCCAGCTCAGCAGGGGAGGGGCAAGAAGACTATTTTCCAGAGCAAGAATTTTAACTTTAATAACAACCCCAACACCACGGGTGCCCGGCACTGGAGGAGTTTGCCAAAGATCACAGTAGGGCAGCGCCTGGAAATGCTAAGTACACTCCAGGACCTGGGTCTGGATTTGAATTTGATGGCACTGGAGCACATGAAAGCTGCGCCCAAGGCCACGTGCGCACAACAGACATGCAAAATGCACCCTTTGAAAGTGGATTTTAACCTCCCCTCCTCTGAGACGTTACTGCTTTTTAGGCCAGAGGTGGGAAGGTTTTCACCCCGGGTTACTCGCAGCAGTCCAGAGAAGGGCTGGGGACGCGGCGGGGGGGACGGACACAGCCACCTCCCTCCCACGCAGGAATTTGCACTGGGGCTTAGCTCTAACCCAATCACCGTGATCCAGTGCTCTGCTCGGAGTGAGGTGCTCATCATTCACTGCCCCGTGCAAAACCTAAATCCCCAGCACAAACAAAAACAAAGAGGAGGCCACGGAGAGGATGGGAGGGCTGGAGCCCCTCTGCTGGGAGGACAGCCTGGAGAAAAGAAGCCCCTTCCAGTCCCTCAAGGGGTCCAGGAGAGATGGGGAGGGACTCTTGATGAGGGAGGGGAGCCATAGGATGAGGGAGAACGGCTTTAAACTGGAAGAGGGGAGACTGAGTTGAGATCTCGGGAAGAAATTCTTTGCTGTGAGGGTGGTGAGAGCCTGGCCCAGGTTGCCCAGAGAAGCTGTGGCTGCCCCATCCCTGGAGGGGTTCAAGGCCAGGCTGGATGGGGCTTTGAGCAACCTTGTCTGCTAGGAGGTGTCCCTGCCCAGGGCAGGGGGTGGCACTGGGTGATTTTTAAGGTCCCTTCCAACTCAAACCACTCTGATTCTTATGACACTCAAGGTGTTTGGGATGGATCCTCTGGAGCAAAGAGTCCCCCGAGCTCTGTCCCCACCCAAAACCCACCCCAATCCACTTCCACAAGATTTTTGCAGCCAGGGCAGCAGTTACCCGACGGGCAGCCACGGTGGCTTTGCCTTTGCAGCAGGATGGCAAAGGACGGAGCCTCTCCTCCTTCTCAGACACAGAACAGCACATCGGGGCGAGGAGACCTCACCCAAGGGGAGAGGGTCAGGGAGCGGCTGCATTTCACAAACCTGTTCACCCTTGGAGCAGTTTGGGTGAGCCCGAGCGGCGAGAGCCCAGCACCAAGCTTTGTGTAGGTGTGTCCCACGGAACCGCTGGGAGATCAGCTCCCGGGGCACGGCGTCGCTCCACACCAAACCCTCCCGGTGCCAGGGCCAGGGGGGTGCCCGGGGCAGGGCCCAGGAAGAAGAAGGACACGAGAAGTGACCCAGGTTTCTGCAGCGCTGCCCTGCACTTCCTCAATCCAGAGCAGGGGAGGGAGGAGAAGGCAACGTGGGCACCCAGAGCTGCTGCTGCTCCTGCCCCAGCCCCAGGAAAGCTCAGAGCACACGGGCTGCTGTGAGCCCACCGCTGCTGAGCAGCTTTTGGGATCATCATCTGCTTCCTATTCTGCTCTATCCTTCCTCTTGCAGCTTCCTATTACATACCGGGGGCACCCACTGCGCACTCCTCCCACCCGGATCAAAGGGCTCCTCTTTGGCAGCCAAACCGACCTCCCGCTGTTCTTACACTTGAAAATAGCAATCCAGTCCTGAGGAAGAAGAGGAGCAGCCGTATATAAAACACAGATCACATCTAATCACTCCTTTAAGCGAGGAAACTCCCAGTTTACACCCCGAGCTGAGCACCGTGGGGTATTTGCGTGTGTAGCTCTAACGGGGCAGGTGACAGGAGCTATGTGGGAGGACAGACATCTCTGGGCAGATGAACCTTCTCCCAAGAACCAGTTCTACTCACTCCCACTGCAGCTGGAAAAGGACTTCCCACACCCTTCAGCCCATGACTGCCAGGTGCATCCGACACCAGCAGAACCTGCAACCAGAGCATCTGGATAACGCAGCCACCAAGGCCCCGAACTCCCTGCAGGTGCTCACCCAGGACACTCTCTACCCAAAACACCTCAGATGAGACAGCAGTGACTTTCCCCAGTAACACCTTCAGTTAAAATTCCCCCCAACTCCTTGTTTTAAAGGAGGCAGAGACTGTTATTTAGGAGCTCTCAGGCCAGGCTATTACTGTCCCAGGTGTCACCTCTCATTTCTCTTTAAACTGCTTGGTTTGTCTCAAGCTAATCATCTCTCATACGTCCCATTAGTCCCTCAAGACCTATCCATTGTCACTAACCCCCCCTGGAGCGCCTGACCAGAAGTGAACACTGCCCAAGACACAAGTGTATCTCTGATGGTGGGGCCGAGGGCCACGACGTCCATCTCATTCCTGTTTTCATTGATGCAATGGTACCAGACACGGGCAGCTCAGCCTGTAATTAAAATTCCAGCGCTAAGCCCAAAGATACTCCATAGGAAAAGTTGATTGAAAGCAATAATCTTGACCGTTCTGCTGGAGCTTCCTGTTTGAGGGCAATCATATGGCCTACTTGCCAATTAATTAATGGAAAGAGAGCAAACACTTTAAACAGCGCAGCCTAATGAAAGAGCAGAGCAATAAGGAAGCAGGTTTCCAAGCACCATAAACCTGTGCTCTGCATCACTCTGCCTCTTTCAGGCACAACTGACACTCGCTGGTCTCAGGGCAATGGGTTTGTTGTGTCTCATCAGACACTTCACTTTCCTAACTGCTGCTGCCCAAGCCTCACCTCTCCCATTCCAAGGCCAAGAGCCTCAATAAACTTTGCTTTTCATCATACAGGTGACCTGAATAACAGTATTACTTTCTCCCTCCCTCTATTTTTTTTTTTTTTACATTTTTTCCTAGTGCCTCATCAGCGCCTTCCACGTTATTTAAGTCACAACCGGGCTTAGAAACCCCACTCTACTCACTGTTAACATCACACCAAAACAAATACACCAAGTTGCCTCTGAGAACTGTGCGTGTTGTTATCTGAGCCTTCGGGCAGAGGATCCTCCTCTAGAACTAAGTGGCCATTCCAGGGGTTCAGTAGCCCCAAGGTGATGGCGTGACCTCGATCCTCTGAACGCTTGGGAAGCAAAGAGCGCTCGATGTTCTCAAAGCTCAACATAAACTACACGCCTCAGAGGTCAGGAATAAAACTTTATTGTTTTCAGATTTCTTATCTGCGTTCAGCTAATCAGTTATCTGTCAAAAAGATGTTCAACACAAAAAGGCCAATTGCTCTTAGCTCTTTTCAAACGGTAACCGATTAGAAAGTGGCAGCAGCACAAGTTTCACTGGAATCAATCCAGGCCCCACATAGATTTGTGGTAGGAAAGCAGAAAGGAGTTTGGTTTGCAAACCAAACAGGAGAACAGTTCTCAAAGTGATTTAATATAAAAGCCAAAAAGGGGAGAGAAGCTCAGATTAACATAGACAGAAAGAGGTACCACGAAGGAGATCAACCAGCTGATGTCTGCGCCGGTCATTGTGTGACCTTCCCTTGTCTAAACTGGTGATTCCCCCCATCCATCTGACACGCACCTTGCATGGAAAATTCCCCATGACAACAACAATCCGACCATTTTAACCAATTCTTCTGTTTCCACCCCTATTAATCCCGATCCCTAAAAAATGGCAAAACAACGCCAAGTCAAGACAACCGGTGCAGAAGAATTAAGGCAGCAAGAACAAACTGCTGTGTCACCTTCCAGCTACAGACTGAGTGAAAACCCAAACACTGCTGGTAGAAACTTCCAAATACTTTATTTGGAACAGTTCTGCCCACGTGCTGTGTGTTGGTTTTTTTTTTTTTTCCTGTTTGAATGATGACAATTATGAAATCACCTGCATTTTGCAAGTGCCTATCACCATAGCACCTGGGTGCTTTATAAAAAAGCTGGCTGGCATGACAGAAGATCCATCACTCGAGAACCTACCAGGTTCCCATTGCTTATTCCTCATTTCAGGCCTATCTACTGACTGAGGACAAAGGAAAAGCAGCAGATGAACTCCAGAAAAAGATCATCTTGTTTTCAGGCAAGGTTTAGATCAGAGACAATAGGAACACTGAGAGACCCAACTTTCCCATGAAGAGCAAGTAGCTATTTCTAAAGCCACCCGTGAAGCAAGTTTTCCCAGAAAAAACTTGTAGGAATGGGTTCTATACTGCATTTGGGTATTTAACAAAATGTGTATCAATAAAGAAGAATCAATCAGCCCAGAGCACAAACTCACGTTATACTCCACCACAACTGGGGTAACCATTAACATTGGGAAAGGTGTTTGCCATCCTTATCAACAAAGAAAAAGGCTCTATTTTGTCATTTCTGAATATCACGTTTTTTAAAAATACCAAGACTTCTCTTTACATAACTACATATAACGTTTCTCAGTGGGGACTGGGAGTGAAAAGGGAAGTTAGCCCCCTTGGCTAGTGTTTCATAGCCTTCAGGTAGGCAGCCTCATCTTGCTGGTTTAGTTCTGCATCTACTTTTGCCTCTGGTTCCCCATCACACCCAGATTTCTAGACCAAAATACCAAATTACAGTGTCAAATATCGGGGCAAGGGGAGGAATCAAATTATACCTGTGCCCTGGTCCATGCTAAGGAGGTGTGCACTGGCCCTGAACAGGCCACTGGTCACAAAGCAAGCTCCAACTTCCCAAACAGAATAGGATTTTTCTGTGGTCCAGGTTATTTTCAGCTATTTATAGTGTACGTGTGTTTCCAAGTAGATTGTTTTGTCTTTAAAATACTGGGAGAGAATGTAAGTGCACAGACATATACACAGAACACAGGGAAAAAGGTGGTAAAACCTCCCTCTGTCAGTTTCAGGTGCAGATATTTGTGTTCTAGAACCTCTTGGAGCTTTCCCTTCAATACAGGATAAAACCTCTGTTCCTCTGGGGGTCCTGGTTAACTTTTGAATCCAAAAATGCCCTTTATATATCCAGTGAGGCCACTCTTGGCCTTCTGCTCCACCTTGTCCTCCAGAGGTGGGAAAGCAACATGATTAAGGGCCAGGTCAAAGAACAAGGGTTTGCAGGGAATGGGCTGGAAGCCCGGAGGGAAGTGGACGAGGCTGACTTGTTTGCTGACCAGAGAAGGATCCAGACAGAAAGTCTCAAACCGTTCCGAGAGAGGCTGAAAGAAACCAATACAGAAACATGAATTAAATACACATCAAATCCAAGCTGACAAAGGTCAAACAAGCAAAGAGGATTAAGCATCAACTAAGACAACGGAAGCTGAAGTTCCCTCAAGGAACATCTTGGGCCCTTGAAAATGATTCAAACCCCTGTCAAAGCATTGCTGCAGGACCTCTGGGAAACCTTCCCATGTGCAGGGAGAAAGCTACATTTAAAAAAATTAAGATGTCCCACTAGAATCTGCAAGCAGCTGCTTAGCCCCTACCCAAGGAACCCCAGCCTGTCAGCCATCTTCAGGACTTGCAGATGGAAAAAAAAACACCTACTAAAAGTCTCTTAAATACACTACTCACAAATGAACTCCAATCAGCATGACATTTCTCGAGTTGTAAGAGACACTCAGGTAACAGGTTAAAAGTAATATTCATTAAGAACATTACTGGAATTTGCCTGAGCTCTCCGTTCTTACCTTGCCATCCTTGACCTGAGATGGAGACTCAGTCTCGTGAGTATCATTTGCATCTGCAAAATTGAAGAAAAAGTGTTAAGAACAACAGGCTAGATTCTGGCATAAAGCAAGGCTGTCTCAGGAGTTGGCTGCTCTCAACTCTGAGCTATGAACCTTGCTTTCTGGGATATATAAGACAATATTTTCAGCAGAAGCAGCTGCTTTACAGACTAAAAGGATCACATATATTTATTTACAGCCATCACAGCTTTTCAGTAGGAAAAACCCACACATTTTTCAGTAGAAGCAGCTGCTTTATAGACTGAAAGGATCACATATATTTATTTACAGCCATCACAGCTTTTCAGTAGGAAAAACCCACACATTCTCCAGAGCTTACATAGATCAGTGTGAAGTGGAAAAACACTTGGAACTTCAGAAATTAAATAAAAGGAATGAAATAACTGCAGGGGCATTATTCAAGAGGCTTTAGAGCTCTAGTACCATTGTGCAACTCACCTAAAATAGCTGCTGCTTGCAAGGAGTATTTCTCCGCATTGACTTGAGTGATCAGATCCTGAACATCGGGCAGCTCCTAGGTCATTAAAGAAAATTATTTGAGAGCCTGAAATGTGTCAGAGTTTAAGAGTTAGGGCAAAGGTAAAACCTTGAAATGTAAGAACTAAGAACTTAAGTCCCAGTGCTGGTAAGTCTTCCCAGAAGAGGAAAAGCTACAGTACAGTCCTTCAGGCACTACAGAAGTAGTATCACAGAAAGCACAGATGTGAGGAAGTGGGGTAAATTGTTCTAGAGTTGTTACAACAAGTTACAACCAGCAAGCAAAAGGCCAGCTGGAGCATTTTCACACCACTAGAAAGTCTCTGCTATTATGTGTCAAGCAATCACACTCCCTGCTTAAAGATCAGTCTTGAATTGTAATGGCCTGGTATCTAATTGACAATAAACACTGGGACAGAGCTTAATCATAAAGTTCAACTCCCTTTCACACAGGGGATTGGGTTCCTACCTTCAAGCTGTTCGTATAAGCTCCAGCTCCTGACTGAACCTCGCGGGCGTATTTCAGCACTCTCTCATATAAAACAAGAGCTTCACTCCATTTCTTTACCAGGACATAAGACTGGGCAATGAAGAAACACCTGCAATGGTGAAAAGTGGCTCATTGACATGTACATCATCCATACCTTTTGCCAATTCAAATGATGGATAAGAGGAGATATTTTTAAGAAGAACTGGCCAGTTTCTCCTGAGCATCCAGTCTTCATTTCACAAAAGGGCAGAGGAATCTGCACCAAAGCCCTGTACAGCACATAGAGCTTTGGAATAATAACCTCTGAAGATGTAACACCCACTAAAGAAAACCTGGCTGTTTCTCAGTCACCTGTAAGCTTTGTACACAAGTGTCTTCAACCCAATCTCTTTCTGGAAGTTCTTGTCCTCTTCTAGGCCAGGAAGCTGTGTCAGTTCCACCAGGTTCTGTGCAAAACAGTGTCAGAGGAACAAATTCAGGCGTTGCTTTCGTCTGGAATCTGCTAGAGTAAGAGAAAGCTGCCCCTTTTAACACGTCAACAGTACACTCCCATGGAAATAGTTTCCAGTTTTCTAATTATTAGTATGCTAACCTTGTGAAGGCCACTCATTGAAACTTGTGCAAGTTTGCCTTCAGGACAGATTTCCTGACACAAACAGGAATTAGGACAAAGACTCCTCAGATTTCACATGAAGTAATTCTTTCATAAGGCATTTCCCTTTCCCATTTACAACTGCTTCAGCCACAGGCTCCCACAGTTAATTGAAAATTTATGTGAGAAATTGAGAAACTGCTTATGAAGAACAAGTATATTTGAAGTATTTTTAGCTGCTACTTTCTCTGGCTAGCAGAAACTAAGGCAGCTACCAGGGTGATGTATAAAATAGTCAGGAAGCCTATTTTAAAACTGCATTAGAGTGTATAACCAAGAGCACCCATTTCCTGTTCACAAACAGAATGGGTTTTTTGTGTTTTATGTAGTTGTTGAACAAAGTTCTAGTTCTAGTTCTTCAAAGTTCTAGTTGACAAAGGGCTGAATATGAGCCGGCCGTGTGCCCAGATGGGCAAGAAAGCCAATGGCATTCTGGGTTCTATCAAAAACAGCGTGACCAGCAGAAGTAGGGAGGTGATTGTGCCCCTGTACTCAGCACTGGGGAGGCCACACCTCGAGTGTTGTGTCCAGTTTTGGGCACCTCAATCCAAGAGAGATCTCGAGGTGCTGGAGCGAGTGCAGAGGAGGGCAACGAAGCTGGTGAGGGGGCTGGAAAACAAATCGTCTGAGGAGCGGCTGAGGGAGTTGGGACTGTTTAGTATGAGGAAGAGGAGGCTGAGGGGAGACCTCATCACTCTCTACAACTTCGTGAAAGGACACTGTAGAGAGGTTGGTGCTGGTCTCTTCTCACAGGTAATTAGTGACAGAACGAGAGGGAATGGCTTCAAGCTCCAACAGGGTTGGTTTAGATTGAACATTAGGAAGGAATTTTTCACCGAAAGAGTGGTCGGGCATTGGAACGGGCTGCCCAGGGAGGGGGTGGAGTCCCCATCCCTGGCTGTGTTTAAGGGCCGTTTAGATGCAGTGCTGAGGGACATGGTGTAGGGGAGGACTTTGTAGAGTAGGGGAGATGGTTGGACTCGATGATCCCAAGGGTCTCTTCCAACCTATGATTCTAAGATCTTCAACAAGATAACTGTAGGGACTCAGTTGCTCTTCAGACTTCACGGGCAGTTCACTTGCACTGTTATATTTCCTACAATAATTTTTTGTAGAGAAGCTCTCCAGTGAGCAGGATTAGTTTTGTTTTGTACCTGCAAAATGATATCGTACAGACGGATCAGGTCCTGAGGCCGCGGCGTGCGCTTGCCGTCCTCTTCCGACCGCTGCTGCTGCAGCAGTGCCTTCTGCAGAGACTTCGCCATGCTCTCGTTGCGCTTGATGGCTGTTGACAGCTTGATGTAAGTCAAGTAACTAGGATATGAAAGATCAAATACCATCAGCAGGCTGTCAGAACTACTCAGACGTTACTCTTTGTTCTGAAAAAAACTCCTCCCCCCAGTCTAAGATGTTTTTTCTCCTACTGGTATCATCTGAAAGGTCAACATGAGAGTCTTAAGTAAAACATTTTCAAAGCTGCGTGAATCAGATCCTTTTCCGTACAGTCATCCTTCGAGATCTGAGAGGCCCAGAACAAAAACCCCATAAACCACAAACAAACAAAAAATAAAAATCTTGACATGAGAGCACGATTTCTTCACACTAGTACAGGTAGCAATGTTTGCCTATTACCTGTGTAAGTACTGGATGTTGGACACCTTCCCAGAATCATTTTCCAGAGAGTGTTCCCGCTGCTTCTGTGGAAAGTGGGGAAAAAATACTGCGTGATTTACTTAAAACTGGCAGCCAAGGGAAGAAAATATCAGAAACAACTCAAGGTTTGGGTAAAACAGGGCAGTTATAACAGACTTCCAGGCAAAAGAATGAAGGCTTCTACATTGCTATTCACCCTCTCCAGTTCTGAAAAGAATAAAATCCAAGGTGACAGCAACTTTTGCAGCTTTTTATTAAAGAAATCCCAGCCACTTTTACTGTTAAGCAAGATTAACAATAACAAATCAGTCCCAAAGAGAAACACTATGTGGTCAAAAGCAGAAACACTGATGCTTGCTGCTTACCTGGTCTGGTTTCAGATCTTCCCGAACAGCCTGAATGGCATCTCTACACTCACTGAGTAAAGATTCAAACAAACGTTCCTTTGTCTCCTCATTTTCTGCCTAAGAGCAAAGGGAAGTTAAGACAGGCATCTATTAGAAATTTTTGTATCCTGCATCCCATGCTGCAAGAATTGACTGAGAAGATTAAAGAAAGTTTCTCCCCAGTTATGGGTGGCTAAAACTCCAATCTGTACCCCTCTGTAATATGTTTTAGGGAACAAACTGTTGGAAATTGGGGGGAACGTGGTCAGAGCTGAGAACTGAGCAGCACCAAAGCCCTAACACACACAGGGCTGATCACCTCATCCCTGCACCAGCGTCCTTCCCAGCAACACCCTTCCCTTCCAGGATGGCACCCACATTGCTCTGGGAACAGCTGAGGTTGGACTGCACTGTGGGAAAGGCCCAGGAAGAGAAGAAGAACTGAGCATTACTGAACTGGCAAACTACCAACACAGACTGCTCTTGTTATGCTGATTTAAACTTTTCTCATGTGGTAAGAACACGTAGATGATTATCTCTTCTACACTCCCACTCTAGTAATGCTCACAGTGGCAATAATTTGCTTCTTTGAAGCATTTTTTCACAGTAACCCTGTATTTTAGTAGCAGGATTGACTGAGTGCTTTTCTGCTGTCACCACAAGTTTGGTCAAAAAAAAAGAAGCAGTTTTTGGCCTTCTGCCACAAAAACAAAATTTGAAAACAACTTTTAAAAAACAAGTTGAAGCCTGATCTCAGCCTAATGGACTGGCATATCATGTACTCAATTAAACAATGCACCCAAAACCAAACTCAACTTCCATTCAGGTGACTGAGGAGGTAACTAGATGGGGATCGCAAGATCCTTACTGATTCCCTAAGAGAACGCTGCCCAGAAACAAACCTCATCCTTAGCAATCAAAGGAGGGATGAAGGTTTATCAGCACCGTGTTACACCACTTCCATGTCATGTAACAGCAGAAAATGAACTTTGCTGCAACAAATTCACAATTGTCCAAGTGAATAAAAAGCTGTCTAAAACCATGCTCATTTGTTTCTCTTCAGCAGAGCTCTGCAACTTCTGCCTCTCCTCTTTTCAGCTTTGCAAACCCATTAAGGAATGTTATTTTTACTCCCTCACAAAACCTCAGGTATCTTGACCCAAGATGGAAGCTTTTTGTTGGGTTTTTTTTTTTTCTTCAGATTTGCTGCAAGAATTTTTAAGGTGGGACTAACTACTGAGAATAACCAGAGACGAGTCTGACAGCATTCTCAACCTCGCCCAGAGGAGCGCAGCAATTTCACTGTATGCACAAAAATGAAAACAGACATAGCTAGATCATCAGTCAAGCACAAACAGGGAAAGGGCTGGGCCATGCAGTGAAACAAAGGCTTTCCCTTCTAAGCAAAAACTCCTAAGGTTAAACCCATTCTATGTGTAAATACACCTATGTTCTGATTTGGGAGATAGCAGATCATAAAACTGAGATACAAGTGCTACAGCCAGTGACTCAAGTGCCCTGGTAGAACAGCACAAGTTCATCTTAAAGACATCCAGGGAACTGAACCCACTTCTGAAAGTCTAGGAGCGCTCACTTCTAATTTTTCCTTTGTTCTAAAACATGGTGTATCATCTCTGAAAGTTATTACCAGATAGAGAAACACTTTTGTCACTCTTCCCTTTAGCCTTCTCACTTCTACCTGGTTAGAGTCAACGGGCCCTTGAAGTCACGTATTCAAGCCTACAAAAGGGCTGACATCAGTAATTTTAAGCTTGGATTCGTGTTTCAATTTGGCTTATTTGCTCTGCTTAGTTTATTTGTTCTGTTTCTCCCCTTACCAGTAAGACACTGAAGGCACAATATAACTGTGGTTAGAATCTCTGTTTTTACACAAAACACACATTTGTGTTTGCCTCTAATCCAGCACTACTCATGCTAGGGTTTCAACTTAGGGAAGTTGAGCAGAAAGGTGCTAAAGATGCCAGGAACCACAACGCATTTAGCTGAAGCCGGACTGCCCATCACAGATGACACAGCAACTGCAGAATTGCTTTAAAAGGCCAAGTTTTAGTCCTCTGGAAATGTAAATACAGCTGCTGCACGCTCAGCTCTCACTAGGACTAGCTGTGATCACCAGGACAAAACTCCTCTGTTTAGTCAAGAGCTTCCAAGGAACACAGAGTGAGATGAAAACAACTTCAGATCACTGTTCTGCCACAGCTTTATGGGGGGCGACCAAACCAGAAAGGTCCTACTGGACCTGCTAGCCTGGCAGGATGAAAATTAAATGAGAGAACACTGAACTCTAAGATGCACTTCCACCTGCTGGCCATGCTCATGCACTGCCTGCAAAAAAGTATATTTGGCAACATACAATTCATAAGATTCTGACAAGAATGGTTAATGTTAACGTTTCCTACCCAGCCATATCCTGTTTATCCTACTGGCAGTATCTCCCTACTACTATCTCCTGCTCCTGCTGCTTGCCTTATACCTTTGCAAGGTTCTAATTTTGTCATTTAAATTGCTTTTTATACTCATTCTTCTCCTGGTGATACATGTTTTTTGATGATGCAAAAAGCACATCCTTAGTGGCAAAAACTGTCAATAAAGATCCTTCCCCTGCCTTTTTAAACAGCAAGAGTGCTGCGTGCAGCCACTAGGAAGCAGAATACAACACCTGGGCACCATTTCCAAGAAAAAACTCCATGTGGAAAACTTGGCTGCGATACTAAAGACATGCAGAGCGTGTGCCACTGCAAGTGTTTCAGAACTGTTACATTTGAAATTGATTTACATCCTGACATTCAGTAATCCTTTACCGCTTTTGAGGATTTGCATAAGTCAAGAAGAAAGTAATATAAAAATCGCAGCACCTGCTTCACCTAGAAAATTGGTTTTTGTTGCTGAAAAAAAAAAAAAATGTGATCAATGCATATCTTTTTCTTTTCGATGCTCTGAAGTCGGATCATTTGAGCAAGATACTTAAAGAAATGAGAACGGTAATTCCAAACCAAATAATATAAAAATCATAGCACCTGCTTCACCTAGAAAATTGATTTTTGTTGCTGACAAAAAAAATAAACGTGATCGATGCATATCTTTCTCTTTTCGTTGCTCTGAAGTCGGATCATTTGAGCAAGATACTTAAAAGAAATGAGAACGGTAATTCCAAACCAATTACTCTTAAAATTGTAACCTTCCCTTCCAAGTGACTTACAAATAATAATGGTCATCACCCTGCCCCGAGAGGTAGCACTTCTGGGCAGAACAAAGTGTTCAAAAGAGCAGTAATAGTCAGAGCAGATCTGCCAAACTACCACTTAGGAGACTGTGGGAACTATCCCCAACTGACACTTAGCTTTGCATTATGGTCAATATTCCTACTTTTACTTTTGGCCTTCCAACCCCAAGTTTGAGAAAAAGCATTATTCAAAAGCTTTTAGTCTGGGTATCACGTATTATCCTGCACTTTGAAGGAAAGGGAGCAGTTAGAACATCAGCACTGGAGATGGCTTCTGGGTTACCTGAGCAATCGCTGCTTCGTTGTCAGCCAGCCCCAGCAAGAAGATCCTCACTTTGTCTATCTTCACCGGAACGGTTCTTCCTCTCCACTCCACCTCGCTCATCGTGGCCGCCTGCTTTGCTCGAGTCTGGGTAATCAGTGCCTGCAGAGAACAGACTGAATTATGAGCTTAAATTTTCCAAAGCTCGATATCCAAACCCAAACCTTTCAAATTCACATTAGACTTGGCTATTTTCTTAGGAGCCTGCATTTTCCAAAGCTCGGTGTGCAAAACCAAAACTTTCAAATTCACATTAGACTTGGCTATTTTCAAACCAAAGGGCTTTTTAGGGAAGTGTGGTTTCCCAGAGCCCAGGCTTGCTTATTCTCTTCTAATATGGTTAAGATTTTGAATGCTATGCTCAACAGAGTGATAATGAATGTTTCAAGGTGAAGCATTCAAGTAAGTTACCTCCAGTTTTTCTGCAAGAAGACCTTCAGTGCCACCAGACCTCAGCCTCATCTGCATCAACTCATTCATGGCAGACTGGTCACCTGAGAGAATTAACAAATCAAGGTCAAATTGCCATCCCAGCTCACAAGTTATTGTAATATATAGAAAAGCCAATCAACAGATTTTATACTGGCAATTTATGGACAAAGAGGATAAATATGCAATTTCATTTGATGTCATAAGCAAACTAATGCAAACTGGTATTTTGCCTTTTTACACAAAACCACATGCACTGTTGTAAAATAAGTATATTTCTCCATTGCTAAACTGCCCCAGAACATGTGCAGAATTTGCCCAAAAAATACTATGGACTCATTCCAGTGTCACTGAGAACAGTATTTAACCACCAAGTCAGTATTCCTTTCCTGTGAACAAGCCTTGCTCTTTGTTGGAGACAAGGTACCCCTCCTTCCTTACCAATATTATAGGCACAGTAGCGAATGTTGGGCGAGATCTCTTCCACACGCTGGTTATACAGTACAGCTTGTTCTTCTGTGAAAGCATTGGCCAGTTTTTCATATATGGTCCTACAGTAAAGAATATATATTAACACTGCAGTACGTGCTGGTTTGTGATACGCTGTCTTAAGGGAAGAGTTTGCCTCTCTACTCTGGAGGATGCTATTTCTTCAGTAGTACCTCCCAGTTAAGCGCACACTTAACTAAACAACCCACAGAGTTTTGAACGTAGAGAATATAAACTTACTAGACTGATCCAATGCTATTTACTAAATGAAGCTGGGGAAGTGGGGAAACTCACTTGCATTTGTTGAAAGCCTCCATTGCTGCCTTCCACTCCTGGTGTTCGAAGCGAAGCATCCCTGTGAGGTACGCCATGTACGCCTGCGGGCAACGGAACGGCAAGTTAATTTCCCCAAGCCCACCAGCCAGTTTGTACAAACTTTGGAACAAAGGCTGTTGTTGTAATTCCTGCAGTAACTAAGCCTTGACCTTTTCATTTGGTCTTCCCACAGTAACATGAGTATTCCTGAGTAACATGCTCTAGCTCTAGGCAATCCTGCTTCAGCAGGGGAGTTGGACTAGATGATCTCTATGGTCCCTTCCAACTCTAAAATTCAGTGAAATTCAGTGAAAGACAACTGATTTGAATTATAGGTTACCAGCTACCTACCTCTTTTTCATTTTAACTAACACTGCTACATTTTGAATCAGACGAAAGCAAAGATGTTTCTTGCTCGTCATGAAACCAAGGTGACCCACTGAGGTCACAAAACCTTTTTTTCCCCCCCCCAGCAATAAGCTACAAAATGGCAGTTTTAATTAACTGAGTACCACTGCAGCCCCTTGTTCAAAGAGGCTGGTGCCACCACAGAACTGCTTTTTCTGCGTTCCAGGAACTGCACCCACAGGTTTGTCTTCTAGATGGCTATTTTAGGACATTATAAAAATAGGTAACTCAACAGATAAGCATAGATTCTTAGGCTGTGTTGCACCATCTTAGTCTCCCCACAATTCTTTTTACTTTTATTAACATACTGCCCTTTAAAGCAAGGACAATCACTTGATACACCTATAAAACTTCCACATGCCAGGTCCTTGCCTTGGCTGGTGCCACCAGTTATTTCTGCAATTCCAGCAGTCGCATTAACAGTGAGTCCAAGTCATTCAATGGGAGACATCATCCAATTTGAGAATTGCTCCGTTTTGATTATCTACTGCTGGATGAGATTAATCCTTATGAGGAGAGGCTGAGGGAGCTGGGGTTATTCAGCCTGGAGAAGAGGAGGCTGAGGAGAGACCTTATTGCTCTCTACAACTCCCTGAAAGGAGGGTGTAGAGAGATGGGGGTCGGTCTCTTTTCTCAAGTCACAGGCGACAGGACGAGAGGAAATGGCCTCAAGTTACACCAGGGGAGGTTCAGGCTGGATATTAGGAAAAAATTTTTCACTGAAAGGGTTATCAGCCATTGGAATGGGCTGCCCAGGGAGGTGGTTGAGGCCCCATCCCTGGAGGTGTTCAAAAGCCGGGTTGATGTAGTGCTGGGAGGTATGGTTTAGTGATGATGCTCCTTGTTTGTTGTGTGGGTGTCTATTTTTGTCAAAATTACGTTGACGGTTGGACAAGATGATCTTTAAGGTCCCTTCCAACCTAGAGGATTCTGTGATTCTGTAATCTCTTCACCCAAAATGCAAAGGTTTCCTGTCCAGCTTTTGCTGTAAGACAGGAACAAAGAATTGGTGTTTACCTGAGCTTCCAGCTTTGTTTTAGCATCCACTCTGTTACTCTCACACAGCCGCTCCAGCTCCTCAGCGTGTTTCACGGCTTTGCGCAGGCGCGACAGCAAGTGGAATCGTTTGCGAGGCTCCGTGTTTGCTTCCTGCTTCAGCTGCATGGCGTAACTCCAGGCTCGCTCTGCATCCATCAGAATCAACAGCAAATACCTACGGGGCAAAGGAAGATTGATGAAAAAATAATGACATTCCAACAAGTATTACCACGTCACCACTAGTTCTCTTCCATGCGAGCTGTAAAGTTTTGTAACAAAAGTTTAGCTTGGTTTCTTAACATTAGCTTTTCTTTCTTAACATTCTAAGCACACAAAGGCATATTATTCCTAACTCTTCTCTACTGTACTTCTCACTACAGAAATGTGATCACCCAACTGAGGCAGAGAATTTGGTACCATTCTGGAGCACTACACACATTGCAGAGACAAACGGATTTATGATTTTAGGTCATTCTTTAAAACTGGTTCAATATGGGTAAAAGTGTCTGTTTTCCCACCAGCTAATGCTAGAATAATTAATGCTAGAATGCATCTGGCTCCTTAACAAGCCAGGTGAAGACAGTATCATGTTTTCTTTTCCCCACAAGAAAAGATGCGACAGCAGACATTTCAAGTGTTTCTAAAAGATGGGAAACAAGTCCAAGATCCTGGCTGTTCTCCACATATTCTATCAGACCAGCATCCTGCCACAACAGCAAATACCTACGGGGCAAAGGAAGATTGATGAAAAAATAATGACATTCCAACAAGTATTACCACGTCACCACTAGTTCTCTTCCATGCGAGCTGTAAAGTTTTGTAACAAAAGTTTAGCTTGGTTTCTTAACATTAGCTTTTCTTTCTTAACATTCTAAGCACACAAAGGCATATTACTCCTAACTCTTTTCTACTGCACTTCTCACTACAGAAATGTGATCACCTGAGGCAGAGAATTTGGTACCATTCTGGAGCACTACACACATTGCAAAGACAAACGGATTTATGATTTTAGGTCATTCTTTAAAACTGGTTCAATATGGGTAAAAGTGTCTGTTTTCCCACCAGCTAATGCTAGAATAATTAATGCTAGAATGCATCTGGCTCCTTAACAAGCCAGGTGAAGACAGTATCATGTTTTCTTTTCCCCACAAGAAAAGATGCGACAGCAGACATTTCAAGTGTTTCTAAAAGATGGGAAACAAGTCCAAGATCCTGGCTGTTCTCCACATATTCTATCAGACCAGCATCCTGCCCAATTCTGAAGCACTACACACATTGCAGAGACAAACGGATTTATGATTTTAGGTCATTCTTTAAAACTGGTTCAATATGGGTAAAAGTGTCTGTTTTCCCACCAGCTAATGCTAGAATAATTAATGCTAGAATGCATCTGGCTCCTTAACAAGCCAGGTGAAGACAGTATCATGTTTTCTTTTCCCCACAAGAAAAGATGCGACAGCAGACATTTCAAGTGTTTCTAAAAGATGGGAAACAAGTCCAAGATCCTGGCTGTTCTCCACATATTCTATCAGACCAGCATCCTGCCCAATTCTGAAAAACTAAAACTGGCAATTCAGTATTTCTATTCAAAGGGAAAGGATCATGTCTCCAACCACAACCTTGCTGGCTACACCATTTATGTTATCAGCATTCACATGCTGGGATGCAACTAATCTGAATAAGGATTTCCTCCTTAATATCAAAGTCATTTACTGATTTCATTATGAAAAGAAGCCATTTTAGCAACTCTGAGGTGAGAGAAGGAACTGGCTGTTGCCGCTCCTTCTTCTCCCACTTGTCCACATGATGAAGCAGGATCTGAGCAGCACCTCTTCCCCCTGCACTGCAGCCTCAACCTTCATCTTTTATTAGTATCAACAACACACGTACATCTCTGAAAAAAACCATTTCTGAATATATTGTACAGAACAGCTTTCCACCATGTCCACATGAAAATAAATTACTGAAATGAAAGAAATTATTCACTAATACACTGAATGCTCAATTCCATCCAGTACCTGTTGTCTGAGAGAATCTCTTCAGTTACTTTCTTCCCCGTGAACTTGTGCCTGTTTCCCATCTTGAAGTTGAGTGTTTTTCGGAGCCGCCTCAGCCTGCGGGAGCAATAACCCCTAAGGAAAAGACAACCACAGTCAGAACAACTTTCTTTGCTGTGCTCTCACACCAGAAAAAAAAAAGAAGAAGAAAAAACAAAAGGACTAAAGGCTGTGACAGGCAACATTTTAACTAAGAATTCCATGTATGACATACGGTAAGAGCTAGTTCAGAAACTAGCTGTAAACCAGTAGTTAACAGAATAAAAGAAAGGTAAGAAGACATGTACTAATTCCTGATCATGGAAAATCAGAATGATGTTCTCTTTACTGTCTAATTGCTTTATGTATCTTTATTGATCACTGAATTCTGGAAGAGTATAGTGATTATCAGTGAGGTGTTAACAAACAAGCTCTCAAAGTGCAACAGAGAAACAAGAGTCTGTCTGTATCCTCTGAAACGGAACAGCCACAGCACACTATATCTAACGAATAAAAAATATGTGTACATTGCTTCACTTGGAGCAATTTGTCAATGGATATTTAGTTAGCAGACCATTTTTGTTGCCTGCTACAACGGGTTTACATTTTAAATGAAGTAAGCCAAGCCCCAGTAGTAACTCAGGAGATCCACACAGCTTACTAACCTGTACCTCTGGAAGTCTCCATGTCGCAAACCGTGCTGCTGCTGAGACTCCTTCACAATCTGAAGGACTGCATTAGTGTTAAGGCAGATCGACAGTACAGTCTGTTATCAGTTTTTTATTCTACCCCAAAATAATGGAACTCTAAAGGTTGCAGTAAGCAAACGTGCTTAGAACAGAGGGCACCCAAAAACCTCCTAAAGATGCACGACTGAGAGAACTGATGGCCCTAAAAGACCTCATGACTCCACTGCTTCCCTTCAGAGCTTTACGACTGTCACCAAGGCCAGGACTAAGATGTACCACAAGCACCTCCTCTTACAGACAATCACAAGTGCTCATTTCAGGATAATAAGCTATGCCAACAGACACATCTAGGCTAATCTGACTGACTGCCTTAGCTACGCTATATCCATCCCTCCCCAGTCACACTTGTGACAGTTTTGTTGGCAAAAATTAATTGGAGAGAAGCCTTCCTGCTCTTAAACTTCCCATCTCTCAGGAAAAGGACAGAAGTACCACAGAGCAGAATCACTGCTATCTTTCTGGCACAGCTCCCACAAACAAACTGGTTTCTGGATACAGAGAACCTCATAAAAAGAGCTTTTGGGAAGAATTCAGGGGGCTTATTTTCTACTCAATTTCTTCTACTCTAAACTTACTGTATATTACTGTAGCAAATACTCCATGACAATGTACTGGCCTCTGAATTTAGATAGCATCGCTCCATGATTTCATATTTGCATCCTGTGTATTCTGTCCATCCTGTGCTGACTTTATTCACTTAAGTTATGCTACCAAATAAAATCATACCATATTCTGGTAAATTTGCCAATGTCATTCATTCAGTTTACAAGGCAGACTATTTTGTGAAATAAAATCTCCGTCATAAACAAGAAATCTCTGTGCTATATGTGTTTACATCCCAGAACTTCCCTTGAAAGCTTTACCAAGATGCCTTAAAAACGTAGAAACAAAGACAGATTATACAATGACCCCATCAAAAGAAACACTATTACTATGGCCAGAGAAAAAGAAACCACCACACTCTTACAATCTAAAATGGCAGACCTCTATCAGAGTGTTTTCTTGTAATTACACCTTTAAAAAAGTCTCTTCAGTTTAAGTATTAAAATCAATAGTTACTACACTGAATTAGTTTGCATCTGTGGAACAAACAAGTCAAACTGTAATGCCTCAACACAGTTCAGGGCACTCCTCATCCTCACTGTCTACCTAAGACTTTTTTCAGACTGTCTCTCAGCCTGAGCAGTTACTCATTGAATTCAAATCCTCCATTTTATTGACCTTTTCCCTGACTTTGGTATTCCTAATGTTACTGGGGTGACTACTGTGTCACCATCTTACTCTACAACTTTACAACACCTGCCATATGCTAAATGTAAACCTGCAACCTGATTTCAGTTGGGTTTTCCTCTCACCCAGAAGATAAAACTCGGCGCTCTCACAGCTGTGCAGCTGGACTGGTTTCACATGGAAGTTTCACACACAAAAATGCCATGACCTTTACATGCCACATCAGATTTCAGAAGTGCTAAATCTAGAAGAGCCAGTCTGCCATCTCTGCATACCTGTTAGATTTATTTTATCCACTATTGCCCGCTTCAAGCATTAATATTACCGCCAGATTACTGACAGCCTGCTCTTATCTACTGCAGGCAGCCTAGCGCAGAGTTCTGCTTTGAAGGCTGAGAACAGCCGTCACACGGTTTGGAAGGAGAAACTAGAATGGTAAAGAACAAAACCACGATTCAAAGATGCAAAGCTGGTGCCCCGATTTCATCCCAATGAAACCCTCGCCGCCAGGGATGGTGCAAATGCCTCCGAGTTAGCCCAGGCTGTCACACTGACACTCTCTCAGGCCAGCATCACCCGAGGCCCTGACCCCAGGGTGCACAACCTGCTCTCAGATCACCTTCGCCCAGGTCCCCAACCCCAGGGCTCACAACCTGCTCTCAGGCCAGCATAGTCCGGGACCCCCAGGGCTCTAAACCCAGGGCTCACAGTCCAGCTACCGCCTGCGGATGGGTCAGCGCGGCCTGGATGGGCCCGCCGCCCTCAGCGCCGCCTCCGCACAAGGACAGGGGAGCTTCCACCGTCCCTCTCCCACGAGGAAGCGGAGGCGGCCGTGCCCGCCCGCCCGGGGCCTGCCAGCCCCCGCGCTCCCCACAGCGGCCGCCACGTCCCCCTGCCGCCCACGGGGCCGGGCCTGCCACGTCCCGTCCCCCCCCCGCCGCCACCGCCGCGGCGCAGGATGCTCTCCAGGCCCAAGCTGTCGCCGAGGCCGCCAGGCTGCGGTCCCGCCGGTCTCTCGTTCTCCTTGTTCTCCTCCGCTCCTCCTCCGCCTCCTCCTGCTGCTGCTGCTGCTCCTCCACGGCCGCCACCTGAGCCCTGCCGCTCCGCCGCCATCTTGCGCCCGGGCCGCCGCGTTGCATCATGGGCCGGGGGAGGAGAAGCGCGCGCCAAGGCCGGGGCGAGCGCCGCCGCCGCCGCGGGGGCAGACGCAAAAATTAATTGGAGAGAAGCTTTCCTGCTCTTAAACTTCCCATCTCTCAGGGAAAGGGCAGAAGTACCACAGAGCAGAATCACTGCTATCTTTCTGGCACAGCTCCCACAAAAAACTGGTTTCTGGATACAGAGAACCTCATAAAAAGAGCTTTTGGGAAGAATTCAGGGGGCTTATTTTCTACTCTAATCTTACTGTATATTACTGTAGCAAGTACTCCATGACAATGGCCTCTGAATTAAGACAGCATCGCTCCATGACTTCATATTTGCATCCTGTGCATTCTTGTCCATCCTGTGCTTACTTTATTCACTTAATGCTACCAAATAAAATCATACCATATTCTGGTAAATTTGCCAATGTCATTCATTCAGTTTACAAGGCAGACTATTTTGTGAAATAAAATCTCCGTCATAAACAAGAAATCTCTGTGCTATATGTGTTTACATCCCAGAACTTCCCTTGAAAGCTTTACCAAGATGCCTTAAAAACGTAGAAACAAAGACAGATTATACAATGACCCCATCAAAAGAAACACTATTACTATGGCCAGAGAAAAAGAAACCACCACACTCTTACAATCTAAAATGGCAGACCTCTATCAGAGTGTTTTCTTGTAATTACACCTTTAAAAAAGTCTCTTCAGTTTAAGTATTAAAATCAATAGTTACTACACTGAATTAGTTTGCATCTGTGGAACAAACAAGTCAAACTGTAATGCCTCAACACAGTTCAGGGCACTCCTCATCCTCACTGTCTACCTAAGACTTTTTTCAGACTGTCTCTCAGCCTGAGCAGTTACTCATTGAATTCAAATCCTCCATTTTATTGACCTTTTCCCTGACTTTGGTATTCCTAATGTTACTGGGGTGACTACTGTGTCACCATCTTACTCTACAACTTTACAACACCTGCCATATGCTAAATGTAAACCTGCAACCTGATTTCAGTTGGGTTTTCCTCTCACCCAGAAGATAAAACTCGGCGCTCTCACAGCTGTGCAGCTGGACTGGTTTCACATGGAAGTTTCACACACAAAAATGCCATGACCTTTACATGCCACATCAGATTTCAGAAGTGCTAAATCTAGAAGAGCCAGTCTGCCATCTCTGCATACCTGTTAGATTTATTTTATCCACTATTGCCCGCTTCAAGCATTAATATTACCGCCAGATTACTGACAGCCTGCTCTTATCTACTGCAGGCAGCCTAGCGCAGAGTTCTGCTTTGAAGGCTGAGAACAGCCGTCACACGGTTTGGAAGGAGAAACTAGAATGGTAAAGAACAAAACCACGATTCAAAGATGCAAAGCTGGTGCCCCGATTTCATCCCAATGAAACCCTCGCCGCCAGGGATGGTGCAAATGCCTCCGAGTTAGCCCAGGCTGTCACACTGACACTCTCTCAGGCCAGCATCACCCGAGGCCCTGACCCCAGGGTGCACAACCTGCTCTCAGATCACCTTCGCCCAGGTCCCCAACCCCAGGGCTCACAACCTGCTCTCAGGCCAGCATAGTCCGGGACCCCCAGGGCTCTAAACCCAGGGCTCACAGTCCAGCTACCGCCTGCGGATGGGTCAGCGCGGCCTGGATGGGCCCGCCGCCCTCAGCGCCGCCTCCGCACAAGGACAGGGGAGCTTCCACCGTCCCTCTCCCACGAGGAAGCGGAGGCGGCCGTGCCCGCCCGCCCGGGGCCTGCCAGCCCCCGCGCTCCCCACAGCGGCCGCCACGTCCCCCTGCCGCCCACGGGGCCGGGCCTGCCACGTCCCGTCCCCCCCCCGCCGCCACCGCCGCGGCGCAGGATGCTCTCCAGGCCCAAGCTGTCGCCGAGGCCGCCAGGCTGCGGTCCCGCCGGTCTCTCGTTCTCCTTGTTCTCCTCCGCTCCTCCTCCGCCTCCTCCTGCTGCTGCTGCTGCTCCTCCACGGCCGCCACCTGAGCCCTGCCGCTCCGCCGCCATCTTGCGCCCGGGCCGCCGCGTTGCATCATGGGCCGGGGGAGGAGAAGCGCGCGCCAAGGCCGGGGCGAGCGCCGCCGCCGCCGCGGGGGCAGACGGGATAGGGGAGGACCCGGGCGGGGGATGGCGGGGGAGGCCGAGGGGGACCTCAGGAGCGGCGACCCGGGGATGGGAGCCCTCAGCCGGGACGGGGGGCTCACTCGCGGTTTGGGTACACTCCACCTCCCCATGGCGATGGATCGGACCCTCCTATCCCCCCCTCCATCCAACCTGGGCAGCCCCGGGGGAGCCTCTCCGTCCCTCAGCACCTCCCGGTCCC